TTAAGTTGATATATTTTTTGTAATTATAATATTATTGTACTTACATATTTAATTAATTTATATAAATTTGTAATTTTTATTCTATTGAGCTGAAAAGCCCACTTAGGGAGCATCAATAAAATGTATGTATGTATATATGTATGTATGTATGTATGTATGTATGTATGTATGTATGTATGTATGTAATGACTACAAAATTCGACGTACTTTCAAGTCTTCTTCTGTTACATAATAGAACCCATAGAAACAGCGTTGCATCCATAGTAACCACATTTTAAATTTCAGTTATAATCAGCGTACTGTTGTAATCTACCATTTGGCTATTTTATCTGAAGAGTGCTACACCATCATGTAGCATGAAACTATATTGTAATGAAATGCCTAGTCAAATCTTCAGTTGATAAAACATTGTACTTCTAGTACCTGCAGAATAGATGTGCGTGTTGTCATTATCAAATACTGTGCAGAATATATTGGACCTGTGCTCTCCCTTCATAACCACTGGAGAACCGCTACCATAGACACATTTTTCAACATTCCAGACAACAACACGACGATCATCACCACCTTGAATTATCAAAGAGAACAGAATAAAACACTTTCACTTTATTACAAACAAGGAGTTTCAACTCATCTTAGCTTGGTCTCCGATGATTTCATTGACAGCCATGTTAAACAAGAGAACTGTCATGATATAATGTTTATAGTGGCATGTATAGGACTTTGTCTGTTCAAGATAAAGGTATTTGAAACCAATAGCTTTATCACCATCAGAGCCTAGCAAATAAATGTTTGTCTATTTGAAAATCATTCCATGTTTGGACACAAGTTTATGCGGACATGCACTTACAGACTGTGAATTAGTGGCTTTCCTATGCACCTGACATGAATTTTGGCTCAATTGTGACTGACCTCAAAAATTTACAATTTTTTCCTCTGTCATAAGAGAAGATACAGTAACTACGCCATGTAATTACATTTATTAGTCTTAACAATAAAAAAATTACAATTAGAAGTTAATAACAAAATCCAGAGTAACTCTCTGTAAGGTACCTACCGGAGACAATGAATTCACCGCCATTGTTGGAGAATTCTATTGCATTAACACAGCCATAGTGGCCTATCAAATCATGGTGGAAGAGCCCTGAGGAACGACTGAAATAATCTGACATGTAGCTCTTGTGCACAAAGGGACATCCATAAACTTCTGACAAGCTCTGGTATTGAGGAAAGCTCCAAATATGGTTCCTTTTTTTGCGATAAGAGGAACCATTGTTCACTGACATTTTAAAAAAACTGAATTATTGCCAAAATAAATCTGACTATTGTCTTTATGCACGTTCAGCCATTTCTTTCAGCCATTTCACGGTAATGCGAGATGGGACTTCTAGGTTCAGTCTCCTCTCGTCTCATCACTCAATAGAGGTTACCAAGCTGTTGTTGCCAAGAAGATTCAAACAAAAAGCTCAGAGGAAAACTTCAGAACTTGTAAGGTGTAAATTGCATGTTCCCTTCCAAATTATTAGTATGGAAGCTCTGCAAAAAGAATTAGCCAAAATTCAAGTAACTGCGCCCGATATTAACTCGCTACCGTAAGTATTCCACATTCTATTTTGCTTAGTAGTTCAGACGGTTTATAGAAATATTTTTCATCGAATGTCTTCACTTCAATCAAGATTATATACAAGCTGATGTTTATCCTGTGGAGTTCCTACTAGTTAATTAGGACTTAACGTGTCTGTAAATGGACAAGCCAACACGCCCTCGAAAGTACAAATCACTGAGCAATGTATAGTTCTGTAGCTGGTGATGTTGATGTCCGGTCAAATAGTGGGAACTGGGGTGGGGAAGGGGGTGTATGCTTTTGGCCTCGCTAGCTGGCATCCCTGGAGAAATCTTTCGAATCTGATCTTTTGAGTACTGGTATTTCCACCCGGGAAGGATACTCCCATACATTACCTATACGGGTATGTGCCGCCCAACGGGGTAGTGATTTTGAAGCTCTTGATTTAGAACGGGGTATCCATTTTAGAGGCGTTTTCTAGAACGGGGTATAATATTTCGAACACAAGCTCCAGTTTTGTAGCAGCTATTTGAAATTATTCAAGGACAGATTGCTTTTAAAAATACGGTTCAATGTGTGCGTTAACAAGCAAACTGTTGTACTCTTGTTGCACCCTGAACGGAGTATAAAAAATTGGCCCATTTCTAGAACAGGGTATCAGTTTTAGGGCGAATTCTAGAATGGGGTATAAAAAATTGGCCTATTTCTAGAACAGGCTATCAATTTTAGGGAAATTTTTTTTTAGAACAGGGTACCAATTTGGAGGCACAGGCAGCACATACCCACCAAAAAAATACCCAAGAGCCCCCCCCCCCCCCCCCCCCCCCCACCCCCACTCTAAAACAGATCTTTTTATTAAAGTCTCAACTACTTCACATATTAAAACACACAAACTTATTTCTCCTTCTTCCTCTCATCCAGTAACTACGCAAACAAATACATGATTCATGTGGTGTTGCCCCCCCCCCCCCCCCGGGTATTTCCATCTTCATTAAGACTGGTATTTTAAATGGGACTTAAATTTGTACACTAATTAAGCAAAATATCTTCATCTCCTGCATCGTCAGAGGTACTCAAGTTAAGCAAATGTCTGTGATCCTGTTGGGGTAAATTCCAACAAGCAACAGGGCCTTGAAACAGTGACATAAGAAAGCTCTAAAGTGGTAACAAGTGACACAAAGGTGGATTAAAGCTGCAACAGAGATGAAGACAAGCACAATTAATATATAGATTTAGCCAAGGCTAAAGGCCAAGCTCCTGCCAATGAAAAAAACATTGCAATAAAGAAATCCAATTAGAGTTGAGCCTGTGATCAGTTGAAACTAGAAACTTGTCAGCGTAACCCATCACCTTGATTGGCCGAGACCTGAGCCTGCAATATGGTCATGTAATACTGGTCAGCAGATACCCTGTTTTGACAGCTGTCAATTGACCACAACATGGATGTGCAATATCAGGTTGCAGGCTCCCACACTAGCTAGATAGTGTAACATTTCACATTGGTTTCCTGGTGGTGCAAACGGAAGGATGGGCGGGCAGTTAATACTCATCTTCATACTTCAAAATGACATTGACACATTATGATTCATACACAAAGTAATTCTCTACAAAGGAAGGAGCCAGATTGACTATCAATACTGATTAGGGTTAAGCACTGACTCGCAAAACAGTTACCAGTAGCTTCAATTTAGGATTAAGGTTGTTGCTAAACCATCACTAGCCAGCAAATCCTCAGTGGCCTAGTGGTATACTAGGTAGGTGGTGGACCACAGACTCCATGCTCTGAGTTCGATTCCCACTCACGTTCTTTTGAATTTTTTTTTCCCTTAAAAATTGAAAAGACTTAGACTTTCATAAACATTTTATCAAGCAGAAATTTCAACAGACAGAAATTTCACGTAGGAAAAGGAAATTGTCTTGTGATAGCCGCTGAGGGGGAAATTAAATGTCAGTTTGAAGTAAGGAGATGAGTGCTAACCTGGGCAGGTGGGCGGGTGGACGTATGGATCTCCGCTATAAAATAGTGCATGAAATGCCAGCCGGCAGGAATATGGCTTGCTCATCAAGGACATACATACTCATCCCGGCTTTCTCTAGGGGGTTTTCAATTGCAAAGCTTAGAAAATATCATGAAATTGATCTTATTTGTTTGTAACTGAAATTAAACTTTATACATGTAGTGTACATGTGGAAAGTGACATTTTTTAATCCAGTATTACTTTTCTGTGTCCTAGTTCTATAATTACCGGTACATGTAAAATTGCCCTTCCGATCAAGTTTTAGTCAAAATAACTTCTAGATCTTGTAACTCAATTCAGTGTACACGTTTATCATTATTATTTCCTTCAAAATGTCATTGAGCTATTATATATAAATAATTTTTAAAAAGCTAATTAATGCCTCATTTCAGGAACAAGAATGTGGATTATGCTTCACTTCCTGAATCATACAAGTCTAACACACCCAAGGAAAAGCTGGTGTTATCTTTTTGTGAAAATTTTAGAAGGCAATTTGTTCATCTGTACCGTGATCGCAAGCCGTTGTTTTTAAATCCTGTTAATGAGGCAGGAACAGAGGTAAGTTTATATTTATTTAACAAAAAAACAACAGCATACAGTGTACATTAAATTTATTAATTTTTCCTATTTAAAGATCTACTGGACTGGCAGTGCTGTCCAAAGATGGAGGGGTGTTAATGAAATTGAAGGTCCCAAGCAATGTACTACCCTGCCCTCCCTAGCCAATCCTTCAGCCCATGAGAGGGTGCATAGCTTCTGTAGATGTTTTAGGTAAAAATAAGTTATTAGCTTATACCAGTGTGCAATCTGGTTTGACTCCTTTGTTTCGTAGCCCTAATTATTCATAGGAGACAAAGACAATTCTGCTTTAACCAGAAAATCATAAATGGATTTTGGCATACAGCATGAACACTAGGAACGGCTGTTGCAAGGGCTTGTTGCCTGCCTAATGGTTTCTTTATTGCTTACAAGAGAGAAAGAGAAAATAATAGATCAGTGATAGTTTAAGAATTGGTCCAGGGGAGTGGGGTACATGTGGCTTGAAAAATTTCCAGGCACAAAAATTAATTTCTGAAATTAAACCCTGCCTTTAGGGTGAGGTATTACCATCTCATCTTTTAAGGTACAGACTATATGCATACTGGCATACAGGTTTCTCAGCTCATATAGTCAACTGTTTTTTTTGTCATAATTTCCCCAAGAAGACCAGAAAGACTAACCATCTGTAAATCTCTGAAGAATATGCAGCAAATTCTTCTAAATTATCTTCAACCTCAGAGCGTTAGTCCAGTTAAGAATTGAATGTGGGCGTACTACACTAAAACTGAATTCAACTTTAGGTTGAGACTTCCTTATGTTTTGGCATATATTTTAGGACTTCCTGACCCTCTTTTAATTTTCAGTGAGTATTCATGGGGTGGGTGGGGATGGATATTATCTGGAGCTGCACAGTGCTCAAAAATGGAGATTCTTTAATTTAGTCTCATTCTTCTTCACTTTGAATTAATCTTCTATGATGTACATAACATTTCATTTTTGCTTTTGCAGAAATTTGTTTGTACAACTATACGCCCTACACTTTTGCCTTACAAAGAAGTTTATGATTATGATGGTTGTGCACAGTTTGTATCAGATTATCTAACATTTGTCTCTTTGGATCCACCTATTGACTTAGTAAGTACACTGTAAATGGGGAATGTAAAATCTATTTAAACCCACATTTATGCAGTGTAGTACTGCAGTCAGCTTGTCTGCTGTGTAACACTGAATGACAAGACCCACAAAATACATCTATCACCCCCTACAGCAGCTGTGGCACATACCCTTCTGTCAGTGAGAGTATTTTAATCAGGTGTCTTAATTGGAACTCAATATTGTTGCCTTCTTTAGAAGTTCTATGTCTATTTAAAAAAAATAATTAAAAAAAAAAAATTCAGAGAGTGGGAATTCATAAGAGGGAGTGTTCAATTTTTCTAAGACAGTATTAAGTAGTAAAAATGATATTAGTAAAGCTTTAACTTCACAGATTTAACTCTAATGTTTCCTCCTCAAGAACCATTGCACTTATGTCTCTGACTCTTGTACTGTATATCCAACTTTTTCACTTGTTCCAGACAAATAAATGTTTCTACTATTTTATTAATTTTTTTTTATACCAGCCTAGTACCTTGGTGTCCCCTACCACTGTGCTGAGGAGCCAAAAAGGAAACTGTTTTGACTTTAGTGTTCTGCTTTGCTCTTTATTGATTGGAGCGGGTTATGATGCTTACTGTGTTTGTGGATATGCAACAAGAGAAACAACACTCACAGATGAAACACGAGAGATTTGCCCTCTTCTCAAGAAGAAAGATGAGGTTAGTTGCTTGAGAAATAATGCATATGTTGCAGTTAATTTTTTTTCTTGGGTAATTTTTGTTTTTCTTTCGTTTTTGGGTATGGTAATGTATGCAAATGAAGTTGAAACAAAGGAAAAATAAAAATTAACTACAACATATACACACATATAATTATGTGGTGTACCTGTATTTGTCTTTCTGATTTGAAATATCCTGAGTAATATTTCATAAATTAAGTCTACTGACATTATTGACCAAGCTTTGTATATAAAGTTAATCTTAACTTGGCAGGACTTTACAAATCCGGTCCAGGATATTTAAGCCCAAATCTTGAAGAAATAGTCTATTACTTACAGTTATGATAAGGAAGGGTGGAAGTTTGGAAAGAATATTTTGCATTAATTATACATTTATTTTAAAAGGTGACAAAGGAGGAGGTGAAAAAGGAAGTAAAAAAGTACACAGTAAAACCTCCAAAAGATTTAAGAAGCAAATTTGAGGCCAAAGTTGAAGCAAAGAAAAAGGCTGAAGAAGAGGAGAAAGAAAGAAAACGGCGTGATGAAGAGAATGCAAGAATTGCAGTGAGTTAAATCAATGTGTTTGTTATCACTCTTATTTACTATGTGATGAAATCATATGCCCAAAAAAACCAGGGGATTTTTTATTTTTTAAACTTATACTGCTACATGAGAAATTTCTGCAATGTGATTGGCTAAGAGCAGTGGTAGTTCAGCTTAATTTGAAATACCTACATGAGAAAATTACAAACCTTTTGCGAGTAGTAGTATAAACAAATAATAGCGTGATTTGTATGTGATATTTGGCATAAATACCACTTGGATATTTCAAAATTGTGTCAAATTTCACTTGCCTCACGGCTTGTGAAATTATGGATAACAATTTCGAAACATCGCTCTCGGTACTTATGCCAAATATCACTACAAATCATGCTATTACCTAATAAGGAGATACAAAATAAAAAGGCTTTAAAGTCATGGTGAAGGTGATTTTTAGATTGTTCATGTTTGGATGTAGCTTAACATATTGGACAATGTACTTAATATTTTTCACAGGTCCAATAGACCTCTTAAAAACATAGAGTACATTGTCCACGGTGTGACATGACTTACAGTATGGTAAGTTAGCGGTGGCTCACCTATAAACCATGCTCTCTGTTCTTATGTGTTTTCCACAGAGACACAACCTAGCTTCACATTATTTATTTGGATTTTAATTAGTGAAACGCAATTCAGCTTATCTTGAAATGCAATCATTTACTTTACCAAGGGTCACCTACATGTAGCAAGGGCAGCTCCAGAATATTCAGAAAGAGGGGGCTGGTAGATTTGATAGCTATATGGGTCTTTTTAGTTGGCGTCAGTGGAACTCTGAGATCATCTTTGTCCAAGAATTAAGGCTCTAGAAGACAGATCTTACCAAGAATTTTTTAAAATTTTAACACAATGTCACACAAAAAGGGTGTGGCCCCATCCAGCCACCTGCTGCTTTTGCATGGTAGCATCCAATTTATTTTTTTTATTGAGTTGCACAGAGTTGCTACATTTTGAAATTAATTGTTATTGAAATGTTTTCTTTTTTTAAGGAATTTGAAAAACCGAAGCCTGACAAGCTACATGGTTTAAGGGTGCACTGTTGGGTCTTAGTTCTTTCTGGGAAACGTGAAGTTCCCGAGAGTTTCTTTATAGAAACCCTGACAGGAAACTGTCATCCCTTAACACACAGTGCATATCTTGGTATTGAGAGTGTATGGAACCACAAGAACTACTGGGTCAACATGCAGGACTGTTCACACGGAGTTCAGGTACCTCTTTAAGTTTAGTGTGCCTAGTACATGGATCTTTTCCCTAGTTAGACTGCAAGACAACGGTCATTGTGGGTTGGTTATGAACGAGCACATGGTGCGTCCCAAGAAAAAATTGGACGTTTGATCTTGGCCTCAAATTTCTTTTGATCATGTATTAAGCATTTTATAATGCGTGTAAGCCTCTCTGAGAAGCAGCAATGAGGGACATCTTTGTCAAAATTACCACAAGCTCCATTAGAAAATTTGCATAAAATTTGTACCCCAAAATTAGCTCTGAACTATCACCCCAGTTCTGTTAACTACTGCTTTAGCTACTGTACTCATTTTAAAGTAACTAGGAGTAATTAGACTCAGTTACTTCAATTTATGTAGTATAGTTATTTTACTGTGTCTTTAGAAATGTCGTAACAAAAGGTGAATACTTTGACACTTGATAGGACCTAGTGTATGATCTAGGTGATGCATCCAAGTGGGAGTTCATGTTCTCCACAACAGACAAACCACTACTGCTGATACCAACTTTAGATGAAGCTGATCCGTTAGAAATCGATGACGATGAGGTACTGTCTCTGCCGGCCGGTCTCTATCCAGGTCCTTCTCTCTCCATACAAGAGATTTTAAGCACCCGATACTGCGACTGCTGCAAGAACAGCTCACAAACATTACAATTGCCTCTGCCGCCCGTGTGTTTTATATGTTTTGTGCATTTCTGAGCTGTTCTCTTCATAACATGAGATCGTGAACACACCACGTTAACGTTTTGTTCTCTTTGTTAACCTGAAAACTTTCATCACGAATTTACCTCCGGACATTTCATTCAGGTCGGAACAAATAAAAATAAATATTATATTTGCAAGCGAGCTTTAAACAACTCTTTTATCCTTCTTGTCTACTACAGCTTAAGCTTGTCATACCTTAGCCAGTATTATTTTTAAGGTTGTTGGCCTGTTTGGTTTTCAGAATGATGACGATGGTTCTGATTTTGACCTGCCTCCTTCTTGGGTTTCTCCTCTAGAAATATCCCTCAAAGGTTAGCCAACCACCATTTTGCTTACTTTCCTGCAAAAACAGCACTTTTCTCACTTCATGCATAATTAGTCCTAACGCGGGAAAAAAGAAACTCTTCTGATTCAATCATGTCGGGCTTGCGTGCATCGCGTCCCTCAACTAGAACTTCACGGTTTTACCTAGCTCTTGGCCGCTGATTCAATGGAGTTCAGTGAATCATGTGACCTCGAAGTTTCACCCCCTCCACCTCTCCACCCACGATAATCGGCATGATGCCTCTTTCCCTGCCGTCGCGGTTTTCCCTCAAAGCTTAGTTCCTCGTGCCGGGGTAATAGGTATGAAGTGCAAATATAGACCACTGCGAAAAATACCATAATATTCTCAAATTGCCGTTTGGGTAGAGCTTCATGATCCTAATCTTCTTTATCTATTTTACCTTAACTGTAGAGTTTCAAACAAGATGCCCGTACGGGAAAAAGACAAAGCTGTACAAGAAAGCAAAGCTGGAGAAATTTGCTGAATATCTGATCAAAGATGGTCTGGTGTCCAGTTTGGGAAGTTACAACGACTACGAATGTAAGCATACTCCAGTTCAAAATATCACAGTATAAATGAATTGTAACAATGAAACAAAGGAAAGAGCTTTGATTCAGTCACAAATAGTGGGGTTGAAAAAACTGCCGACCCTTAATCAGCCTCGAGGTGTTTTAATTCCTGGAGAAACACTTTTCGAGTGTTTGATGTCCCAACCAGTGAAAAATACAGTATTGGGAAAACTCTCACTAAAAAGGAGATCAAGCACCTTTTATGGCAGGTAGGTAGTTTTCCATTTATCCTGTTCGTGTTTTATAAACGATTTTCAGGGGATACGGACCTTAGACGCCTCTTCGGTTTACCCGCTCAGATTTGGTGTACCCCAGGGGTCCGTATTGGGTGGGTGACCTAATACGATGGCGTGATATGAAGTTTCATCTCTATGCTGATAACACTCAACTGTGTACCACCTTTAGTTGTGATGATGGCGTGGGATTCAACACTGCAATTTCCCAGATTGGAAACTGTCTTGCTGATATCACTAACTGGATGACTACAAACAAACTAAAACCAGTAAAATATAGTAAATACTGATAAAACGGAACTTCTCACCCTTCATTCTAAGTTCAGACTGCCCCCACGGCTTCCATCGATACATCTTTTGTGCGTAGGTTTTTGCAAGATTTTAATAACGTTTTTGGTAATTATCAAGAAAAATTAATAATAATAATAATAATAATAGTAATAATAATAAAAAACACGTTCACACATTGATACTTAACTGAATATTTGATTTCAGTGAAAGACATGATCGAAAAACGAGAAGTGTTCAAACACAGGATTGACAAACTGGAGACTAAAGTACATAACATGACAACCGGACTCATTACAGAATACTTTGCACCTGGCAGACCGGACTGTCTTAAAGGTATTCTGCATCTCTGCTTTTACATGTACGTTTCCGATTTATTTTCATGCATATATCAGACTTATTCTGGCTATACACCATGTGTATTACAAGTGTCTGTCTTCAAGAGTTGACTGCCTTATAGACAGTCAAGGAAATGAAGCAGCAACCACTGCGCCAATAGCCTGCGAACGCAGACATATTTCCGGTCGTCACTTTTCTCCACCTGAAAAGTACCTTTTCGGGAGTAAGGGACGTCCGAATTACATCTGCGTTTTCAGGTTACTGTACCAACCCGAACGTATACATTTCAAATGAGTCCGTTTTATGCAGGTTTATAAAGGTTTCTACTAAAAGACAACTGTCCCGGTGCTCCTTTTTTTAAATCGTTGGAAATTAGTGACATCGTTTTGAAATCACTTCATTTTAAAATCTTGATGCCTAACTCCTAGCGCAATTAGTTGATCTTGGCGTGAAATAGCATCAGTATATCTCGGAGCCAAATTTAATTTTTTTTTTAGTACAGGGATATTTAAGTTTTAATTGTCTCTATTTGTAGAACACACCTTCAAGGCGAATTCACCGGGTCCAGAATCTGACAGAACTATGACATTCTACTCCAGGTGTGGTTGATTTTATCTCGCCCTTTTTCTATATTGTACGGGACCATGTGTCCTATTGTATACTAAACTTGACTTTGTGTGGCTGATGAAATAAATGGTGAATAAATGAATAAATAAATAAGGGTGAGGTTGTTTTATTTGGGACATAAACGTGCCAAAAGGATTGTTGGGCTAATAATTATTACTGGATGTTCCTAAAACAACTGGTTGGCTGAGGATAGCTGGTCAGTGGCGGGAGAAAGGGTGTCAGTCTCAAACTAAAGTCAAGATGAGAGTAAAAATCGCGTGATTGTGAGATACACTTGAATTCTCACACTTTCACCTCCCTGGTGTCGCCTATGTCCGTTATTAAGATTCTTCCTTTAGGGCTAACTAGCTTCTGACCGTTTTCAGCGCCCGTATTGACGGATTAGTGAAGCGTGAAGAATCTCCCGAAGAAATGACAGAAGCATATGTTGACAGAGACGATTTCATGTACTTTCGACTGGTGACTTTCGGCAAGCGAGTGAAAAAATTTGGACCTCAAGAACCCAATAACAGGCCAATTGTGGTAGGTCCTTAAAAATATTCGAATGATCAGGTTTAGATTTATTTTGTCACTTCAAAATGATGTCAAGGCGACATCAAAACGCTGTGAAAAATGTTTTGATATTCAAACTATACGTTTTGAAAAACTTTTTCGCAAGGGTGGTGGAATTTTTGCACTTGAGGGAAAGATACTGGACAGATGACTGGTAAAGCACTTTAACTGAAGAACGCTTTTGCATCTTTTATATACAGCTATTTCGAGAAAGGTTATCGGATAAAGTGCACGCGACAACCCCGAAAGGTATTGTGGGTGGTTTTGAGTTCATTGTTTTTCAAAGAAATTTGAAAGAACGGCAGGAGGGACCATGGAGATATGTCTGTGAGTGCTAAAGAAAAGCAACCAAAGTAGGTTCGACAGCTACAGTGTCAGGAGCTGTGTTTTGAACATATCCCATATTACCTTTCGGGATTATCGCGTGCACATTTTTTCCGACAACCTTTCTCGAAATGGCTGTATACTTAATGTAAAAGTGTCATGGCCAGGAGATTTTTTAATTACGTTATATCTTCTAACAGAAAATAGTGGAACGATTTCACCGCAATAAGACTAAAGAAGCAAATGAAGATGTGGCTGAAAGAGTCTTCCTCGTCTCTGATGAAAGAATTAACTTAACGTTTCACTTAGAGGATAACAGGGTTACAGCTTCGACTCGGGAATTCATTCGCCCCCCTCATACAACAGAAAAAGGAGGAACACTCACAATGACCCCTGATATGACTACCACTTTTCAAGTGAGTTGATTTATTAATTATTATCGTATGCCTTTGTTTCTGTGTTAGTTATGTAGGCAGTTATCAGTGTCTGCGTAGGCAGTTATCAGTGTCTACGTTGTAACATCGCAGTTCATTCATTTTTGTCCCAAGCTGACATACCATTTACTTTATAAAGCTCATCTTCGTTCATTCCTGTCACGGAAACATTAAAGCTCACTAAACTGACTAATAAATAAATAAGGGTGAGGTTGTTTTATTTGGGACATAAACGTGCCAAAAGGATTGTTGGGCTAATAATTATTACTGGATGTTCCTAAAACAACTGGTTGGCTTAGGATAGCTGGTCAGTGGCGGGAGAAAGGGTGTCAGTCTCAAACTAAAGTCAAGATCAGAGTAAAAATCGCGTGATTGTGAGATACACTTGAATTCTCACACTTTCACCTCCCTGGTGTCGCCCATGTCCGTTATTAAGGTTCTTCCTTTAAGGCTAACTAGCTTCTGACCGTTTTCAGCGCCCGTATTGACGGATTAGTGAAGCGTGAAGAATCTCCCGAAGAAATGACAGAAGTATATGTTGACAGAGACGATTTCATGTACTTTCGACTGGTGACTTTCGGCAAGCGAGTGAAAAAATTTGGACCTCAAGAAGCCAATAACAGGCCAATTGTGGTAGGTCCTTAAAAATATTCGAATGATCAGGTTTAGATTTATTTTGTCACTTCAAAATGATGTCAAGGCGACATCAAAACGCTGTGAAAAATGTTTTGATATTCAAACTGTACGTTTTGAAAAATTTTTTCGCAAGGGTGGTGGAATTTTTGCACTTGAGAGAAAGATACTGGACAGATGACTCGTAAAGCACTCTAACTGAAGAACGCTTTGCATCTTTTATATACAGCTATTTCGAGAAAGGTTGTCGGATTAAGTGCACGTGACAACCCCGAAAGGTATTGTGCGTGGTTTTGAGTTCATTGTTTTTCAAAGAAATTTGAAAGAACGGCAGGAGGGACCATGGACATATGTCTGTGAGTGCTTAAGGAAAGCAACCAAAGTAGGTTCGACAGCTACAGTGTCAGGAGCAGTGTATTGAACATATCCCATATTACCTTTCGGGATTATCGCGTGCACATTTTTTCCGACAACCTTTCTCGAAATAGCTGTATACTTAATGTAAAGGTGTCATGGCCAGGAGATTTTTTAACTACGTTATATCTTCTAACAGAAAATAGTGGAACGATTTCACCGCAATAAGACTAAAGAAGCAAATGAAGATGTAGCTGAAAGAGTCTTCCTCGTCTCTGATGAAAGAATTAACTTAACGTTTCACTTAGAGGATAACAGGGTTACAGCTTCGACTCGGGAATTCATTCGCCCTCCTCATACAACAGAAAAAGGAGGAACACTCACAATGACGCCTGATATGACTACCACTTTTCAAGTGAGTTGATTTATTAATTATTATCGTATGCCTTTGTTTCTGTGTTAGTTATGTCGGCAGTTATCAGTGTCTACGTTGTAACATCGCAGTTCATTCATTTTTGTCCCAAGCTGACATACCATTTACTTTATAAAGCTCATCTTCGTTCATTCCTGTCACGGAAACATTAAAGCTCACTAAACTGACTCCAACATTAGCTTAAGGAAGCCTATTTTAGGGTTCCTAGTCATACTAACTTACAATTAACACCTTTTTTAACGTCTTATTGTTTTGTTATGTGAGTTACTAAAAAACAAATAAATCAATAAATTGGTCGCTTTACAACTCGGTTAGATAGAGCAGCGCACGTTAACTCATGGGGTCTCGTCAGTTATGAGCCTTGATTTTTTTAGCCTTCGTTCTCTGATTGCTCAAATTAGTTAACAGTTGTACTGTGATCACTCGGACAGGTAGACCCTCTGATTAAGCCCCATAAAAACTTGCATGTTTATGAGATGCTGGTGGAGCTTGTGGATGCTGAGGAACAAAGCACGAATCAAATACGAGCATCAGAGGAAGAGGTATGGTTACTTGGTTACATGTATTCAGAATACAAAAACTTCAAGCGGAATAAACTTCTCCAGTTTGGTATGATTTTTGATTGTCATTAGTCTTTCTTTTTGTTTGTGGAAACAGCTCAAAGTATGAAATTTAAGTGACCTTTTCTTTATTTTAATTTCGCTGTTTTCAAGAAGGAAGTTATACAAAATATATGCTCCAGGATACGATTAATTGAAACTAGGTTCATTAGCGTCAAGAAAGAAAGCCTCTCCTGTCTTTTGATAAGTAAATGGAGCCACAAATCGTAGCAAGAACAGCTCTTTTTCTGCTCTATCTTACCTCGGTTCTACAGGGGCTTGCTTGGTACTTTTCTACCCTGGATTTAGCAACTGGCTATTGGCAAGTCGAGCCTGAAATATAATAAATAATCACATTTTTCTCATTGACCTTTAGTCTTCCTCATATTCCCACACACAGAACTACAGACGTTATGCGGCACCCTGTTTCATTACAAGTAACTTCGTATATGAATTTCGGCTCAGAATTAATTTGCTTTTTTAGGTAAAGGAAATTCTGCAACAGCGAATCAAGGAAGAAGCAGCATCGCAATTAAGCGTATCGGTGTACGATACTGAAAGAAACGAGAAAGCCAAGCTACATCGCCAGGAACTGGTAAAACAAATAACCTCATATAAGTGTTATTTATTTGTTTTTTAACACTGATAAATTACTGATGTTTTTGTCAAAACATCGAACAATCTTTGCACAACAACATCGAAGTGTGTTAATATACGGAAAAACGGGTAACAAAAAACATGCAACTTGTTTTGCAACATTGCTGCAAAACGAGTTGAATAGCAATGTTGCCCGTTTTACCAGCCACATCAAACCTGTCTTACAACAAATCTGGTTGATAACAGGTTTGAACATGGGTTGTAAAACGCGCAACGTCGCTGTTTAACACGTTTTGCAGCAATGTTGCAAAACAAGTTGCATGTTTTTTGTTACCCGTTTTTCCGTATATTAACACACTTCGATGTTGTTGTGCAAAGATTGTTCGATGTTTTGACAATTTTTTTGTTGTCCGTTTTTCGGTACCTATTTAACACCAATGCAAGAATCGCTGCGCTTCAGTTTCACTGTCAATGTCTGCCTAAATTTATTCTGCCTTAAGTAGAAATTCGCATGTAACAATAGTAAATGAACAGGACAGAGCGCGAACGAATGGTTCGGATTTGGGGTTTAATCTTCGTTGTAGTTTTACGTAGATGAACAGAAAGAAACATATTTGTTGACTCCATTATGGTGAAATGTTTTGTGTGCAATGACACCTGCATTGATTTGTGAAAAACGTTATTGTCACGGGCTTGCCTTAATGAATTGAAGTTTATTTATTCCAGGAACGTAAAGCAGCGGAGGAAGCAATGAAGAAACATGAATTAGAGTTGGATTACTTGGCACCGTTTCTGGCTCAGATTGGTGATCCGCCTCACATTAGCAAACAGGAGGCTTACAAACTAAATGAGGAATGTCTTCAAGATCTTAAACATCGCCTTATTGACAAGGCAAACCTCATACAAGCAAGGTTTGAGAAGGTTGGTATTATGAAGATGGAAGTTATTCTAACAGTATGTAGCTTTCTGTAAGAACGTAAACGCTTGCCACAGGAACAAAACAAAATTGTAACAAAATCATTTAACAAGATTTCCGCGTCAAAATGGATTAATTGTGCCCAGTACGGGTATATCTGGTGTGGTTCAATTTGATCCTTGGTTTAAATTGTATTTCTCTTTGTGTTAACCTCATTATCGTACATTACCATACCCTTAAACAAAGGAAGATAAAATTGAACATACTGTTTACCCATCGTTTGTGTTATTATTCCTCAGGAAACACAAGAGCTACAACGAAAACAAAGTTGGTATCAACAGAATCAGGTTTCTATGACAAAAGAAGACGAAGAAGAATACCTTAACTTCTGCAGCGAAGCCATGTTTAGGATCCATATCCTAGAACAGCGACTTAACAGGTATTGTCAACAGGAGATCTAGTAATTTGTGGTCTCCAGAAATACTGGTATCCCAACTGTCGGCGCACTGGCAGGTTGTGGCATTTTCCTCGAATCAGTAAAAGTGACGGAAAGAAAGATTCGCCTTATAGGGGCCAAGCTAGAAATTTTCAAGTGGTATGAAGAGTTTCTCAAATCACCCCTACCCCGTCTCCCAAATCTTTTTTTTTTTTACACGGGCGCATTATTAAATCTCGTGGTCATAGAAACGTGTTTTTCAAGCAGCAGTTAAAGTTTTCGCCGGTGACAAAATTGTAGAACATATTGTATTTGTTTTGAAAAATATCTGAGAGAAGTTTTAAAAGTGGAGTTGAATGGGCAATTGGGTATCCCTTACCGTTTGTTCATTTTGTCTGCTTTGTTTTTCTATTCTTCTTCTTTTTTTTTTATCCCCGATATTTTTTAGGTACACATGTGCGCACTGCGTACTAGCACACACGTCGTTACCTACCACCCCTGTCATATACTTTCAGCAGTTAAGAAGGAAACCGTTGTATGGTGAGTTATATGTATTGTACTTTTTTCCCCTAGGCACAAAGAGCTGGCACCACAGAAGTATGTTCAACTGGAACAAAAACTGAGGAACGACCCAAGACTATCCGAATATTTCTAATATTATGAAGTTGTATAAACATGTACATTTTACTTGGTTTGCCTTTGTATAGAATGAAAATAAAGTCTGTTGAAAAAAAAATGCCTACTTTACCATTTGCTTGAAGATGTCTTGACAGTTCGTTCCCTAATTGCCACTGAGTGTCACACAGCAGAGAGCTAATTAAGAGAGAGCTGAAGTCCCCAGTTTTTAAAAATTCCCATAACAAGCAAAACTCAATCATAAAGAAAGTCAGAGAATGGTCAGGCTGTGATAAGATTCTTTGCTTTTTTGGTTGCTTATTGGATCAAATCGTTTAGCAGCTGGAAATTACGAGTACGTCGATAAAGTTATGGGCTTTGGTCTTCTCGCCTTGCCTTCTCTAATCTGTACCATTATATTCACGCAGCCTGACATCCGTATAAACCAAAAAAACTCACATATCACACCCTCATCATGGTTTCAACAAGCACCTTTGCTGCAGAGTGAGTCATTTGAAATCAAGAGAAACTAGAAAACTTTATTAATTTTGTCTCTAAATTTGAAAATATTTGTTGACAGTTACAAGTGTTATTTGACTATAAAATTTCACTTACTTTGCCATTTATGTACAACTGGAAAGATAAACTAATATTTCACACTACTGTCACTGCATGGTGTTTTTTTTTTGCTTAAGCAAATGCCAGATTGCCATGATCTGAAGAATCCTTGAGTTGAATTTTACTAAAAGCAGTATCTCTCTCGGACTTAATCATGAGATGATGGGTTGATGGCGTTTTTAAGCCTGTGGCATCTGTAGATTGTATTTATCACTTTTTGTCATGATTTCTCTGGGATGGGAGGAGCTTCTGATTTCTCTTCATAGGGAGGTGGTGGGCTGTGTTGCAAGTTACCTATCACAGAAAAAGGAAAACAAAAAGCAGTAAGTCTGCATGAGAAGCAAACAAACATGTAAATGCTTTTCCTGGTTAGAATCTCACATTATGGTGTGAAACTTACCATGCACCCCAGAATGACAGAAAGGAACTCCAGGGCCATACAGATTGGCACTAATATGAGGAAGTTGTCCACTATAGGCTCCCTGGTTAGGATACAACTTAGTCAAGAACTTACCATGCACACTAGGATCTTTAAAGGTGCTCCAAGGCCATACAGACTGGGGTGAATATGGGATAGTACTCTAGTATATATGGTCCCTGGTTATAAGCATCTAACATAGCCAGGAACTTACCATGTACTCTGGGATAATGTAAAGGTGCTCCAAAGCCATACACACTGGGGTGAATATGGGGTAGTACTCCAGTATATATGGTCCCTGGTTATAAGTATCTAACATAGGCAGGAACTTACCATGTACTCTGGGATCATGTAAAGGAGCTCCAGGGCCATACAGACTGGGGTAAATATGGGGTAGTACTCCAGTATATATGGTCCCTGGTTATAAGGATCTAACATAGCCAGGAACTTACCATGTACTCTGGGATCATGTAAAGGAGCTCCAGGGCCATATAGATTGGGGTAAATATGAGGTAGTGGTCCAGTATAAGGTCCTTGGTTAGGATCTAACACAGGAGCAGAAGGTGGAGGTGCTGTTGGCTCAAGTGGCTGGGGAATCTGAAATACGACAAGTTAAGACTGGTTAAATGAATGAATAGATTTTATATTATCCCTGTTGTTCCCTTAAGACTTGTGCAGGAGGTTTTCTTGAAGTATGGGTAGTTTCATACAATATACAACATAGAAATATTGTGTAAACCTTATATTGTTTATGCTTCATTGAGAAACTTGTTTCCACTCACAAATCAGTGTTGCCCAATTCTGTCGGCCTAACATGAGTAAAAAAATATGGGTTTAAATTTGTATAGATAGATAAGCTAGGTCAACTGAACTTACTAAAAAATTCAAACATATTGCAGTAAGTAAGGTCCCTGGGATCTGCCGAAGATTCACATAGGACTCAGGAATGGACAAAAACTTTGTGTAGTGTACAAACGTAGTCGTCAACTGAAAAAAGAATCTCAATCATGTAATGTACATTATGTCTTGGATTAAAGGACAACAAGACATGGCCTCTTTACATTATGTATTAAACATGTCAACAGTAAGCACACACCTCAACAAACAAGGGTGCCACTGGCAGCCACTATCAGTCCATTTATGAGCTTTCTGTAACCCACCCATTACCCATGATATGAATGATTTGTGATGCATCAAAGGTAGATCACACCACCACAGAAACTTCCCCTACTCTTTTTGAACAGTAGTGTGGGTTCTTTTACGTCCATTTGGATTTGACTAATGAAAGGATAAAGGAAACAATACCAATGGCTTAATG